GTTCAAGTCAACAAAGTGAATTATAATATTTTTTCCAAAAAAACTTGTCAATCGGTTCACTGTGTACCGTCTTATGGAAACGAATCAGTTGATGAATTCACCTTGAACCGGTATAAAAAAAACAAGGTGAATACATGAAAAAAATATATTTTCGAAACAATACAAAAACTGAAAAATATGTGAGTAAGATAAATTGTAGAATAATTCGAATTTCATAGATATTTACTAGATGAGTATCATAATACACAGTGAACCAGTCAATACACATTGAATCATGAATCACGGTGTACTGGTTCACCGTGAAATTTTAACAAACATGAAGAATACATTATTTAAAAAATAATCGTGAGATTACTTGAAACAGTTTTTAAAATTTTCAATGCTAAATTGACATTTTTTAACCGACGATACCTAACGTCGCCAAATAAATACGCAAATAGTGAAAAATCATAACGTGAACGGAATAATGTTTTTTTTTCACCTGCCATAAATCACTATTTCACTCTCTGCGTGTTGTGGAATGAACTGAAAGACGGAGACGGTTGATGAGGTGGTTCACTGTGTACGGCGGTTCACTGTAGGACATTTATCCTATACATCAACTCACCTATTCATGCTATGAATTCTTATGAACAGAATAATGCACCGTATATCTTCCTGAAAGTCTCAAACGCTCCCTACACCTTGCATAAAGACTCAAGCCTGTATTTTCTCTAGAAAGGCGGAACTCAGTATGCCGGACATTGTTATGTCTGGCACCACTATCTCCACCAAGCCCACCATATCTATGCTCGGTATTTCCATCAGCAACACTCTTTCATGGGATAATCATGTCAGATCTATCGCAAAAGCTGATTCACAAAAACTAGGATTTTTGTTCCGTGCGAAAAGCTACTTTACACCTCAACAGCTTCTCATGATCTACAAAGCGCAGATACGGCCTGTTCTAGAATACTGTTCCCACATATGGGGTTCAGCACCAAAACAAACGCTGATGCTCTTAGATTCCATCCAGAAAAGAGCCATCCGCCTGGTGGGTGACGCCACACTCACTCACTCTTTGACATCATTGGAACACCGTAGAAAGGTCGGCGACCTCTCACTTTTCTATCGATACTTCCACGGGAAATGTGCTTCGGAAATCTCTGCTATCATCCCTTCACTAGCAATACCAGTCAGACGAACTAGACAAGCCCAGTCAGCACATCCTTTCGTTGTCAACCTCGAAAGATGTCGAACAGCACTTTATCAAAACTCCTTCATCCATAGAACGGCTAGACTCTGGAATTCATTGCCTGAGGAAGTATTCCCAACAACATATAATCTCCAAAAGTTCAAAAAAAAATCCAATACCTACCTCCTATTCCTATCCTCCCTAGGAACGCATGATGTTCTTTGAACATTATAGGGATTCCCTTTCGTGCGCTCCAAGCGATAAAAAAAATAATAGACCGGGGGATAGTGACAGATTTCCAGACGTGATTTCACCCAGTTTGCCTTTTGGATGGTATTATTATTTAATTATTTATTTGTTTATTTATTGTTACACTGTTCTACAAGTTAGACCCAATTACAGAACAGGGAAATACGTATAACAAATAATACAAGTTTTCGTAGTTTGAAAATTACATAAACTTAGGCATGCATCTAGCTAAGATAAAAAGATCTAACCGCAGAGATAGAGCAATGAAATGAAAATTTTATATAGAACACATGTTATGGGGAGGAGAACATTTCAAAATATTTGTTCGTATAGTCGGAAGATAAAATGTATTGAGCACTCTAGAAGTTTGTCTAGGCACAGTGAGACTAAGCTTCTGCAAAATGTATGAATCAATGATAATGTTATTGATCACTTTGAAGAGGAACAATGTGGATTGACAATCACGACGGCATCTAAGGCTTTTCATAGCAAGTCTAGCTAATAATGTATCATGGGGAAAACCGATTGGTGGATACGCATTATCAGATCTATTGGAAATAAGCTTTAGGAAACGCCCTTGTACGGACTCCTCGCCAAGCTTCATCTTATGGCTTGCCCCCCAGCTATGTTCTCTGCTAGCTAGTTTTCTCTCAAACAGGTCTCTTTATGTAGTGGTCGACGGAGTTTCATCTGACTCTCTTATCATAAATGCTGGTGTTCCGCAAGGATCAATTCTAGCACCAACACCATTTCTACTCCATATCAACGATTTGTTGGAAGCAACTTCATGTCCAGTACACAGCTTCGCGGATGATAGTACCCTCCATACCGCCTTCTCTTCCAGGGCTCCAATATCAGGCAAATCAGAAACGAACGAGGGAGAAATGTTGACAACATAAATATGGACTTGGCAACAATTCTCGAATGAGGATCCAATAACTTGGTAGAATTCAATGCAAACAAAACACAAGCATGCCTTTTCTCTAGAAAAGCCGATCTCCCTGTGTCCAACATAAGCTTGTCAGGAGTAACCATAACTTTGAAGACATCCATTTCAATGCTTGGTATTACTATCATCAATAACCTTTCTTGGGAAAATCACGTGATATTAATTGCTAAAAGTGCATCTCAAAAATTTGGTTGTCTGTTTCGAGCCAGGTGCTATTTCGCCTCCAGTCAGCTGCTTATGATCTATAAGGCACATATCCGAACTGTCCTATAATACTGTTCCCATATTTGGAGTGCAGCACCCAAACATGCCCTGAAACTGTTGGGTTCTGTCCAAAAAAGGACAATTCGTCTCGTGAGTCATGCCTCGGTCACAAACTCACTCACTTCTCTGGAACACCGTAGAAAAGTTGGCGATCTGGCTCTATTTTATAGATATTTTCATGGACGATGCTCTTCTGAAATATCAACAATTGTTCCTCCGTAAAAACTTCACAAACGAGAAGATTTCCACAAAATTCTTAAACACACGACATGTTTCGCTAACACAGTAGCTTCGTCAGGTGATAATATACTGGTACAATGTATATTTAGAAGCCTAGCGGCGAGTGCTTAATTGCTTTACAACACGCATTACCTACTATACTTTACGTACTGCCATATAGTACTTCAAAAAAGTTTGGAGAAACAGTCTGAATTATAATTCTTGACAGTTATGTCATCCGCTGTTGACGGCGATTACGCTATCATGACATACCTATACTGGCGAAATAAACGAAAACTGTGCGATGTGCTTACTGTGCGTAAAGAGCCATTTACTGAGGCTTTATCACGTGTGTTCTTGCCTACTTTCGATAGTGGCCGTAAGTAAATGTCATTACATTTGCTAGCGTTTAAAGGTAATTTGTTACTGCAACACCATTGTTCAACGTGTTTCAGATTAAGAGATAGCCGTTCACATCCTCAATATCATTGATCTGACAATATATTTCCAAATCGTCTGCATACATCAAACAATTGACATCAGTTACTTCGGTTTTGTCATTGATAAAGACATTGAAAAGTATCGGACCTAGGTTGGTACCTTGAGGGACACTCGAGGTTGCTGAATACTCGACAGACTTGAAATCATTGAACATATATAACATATATTGACGCCTGTTAGTAAGGTATGAAGCAAAATATAGCAAAGGGTAAAAAACGGTTCATCTCGATTTCCGGCAAAACTAGAAGCCCTATGGAAAAAAGTTAAATGGCTAAGTTGTAGGTAATAAAATAATCTCTAACTTCCATTTCCATATTTTTTTCACATAACCTCAAAATTTATGTGAAACATTCAAATAAGCAAGTTTTTGGTTTTCTTATTTTTATCTTTTACAAAAAAATTCTCACGAAATTTGCTGAAAACTTACCTCTTTATGTCCCAAATACTCTAGTAAAGTTGTCGAAGGTTCTCAAAAACACAAAGCATTTCTCTTTTTAACACTCGTACGCTTTTTATTGAATACGACTGTACATTATGTGATATGAGTATTTTCGTCAACTTCAATCGTCAATAACTCAATCATTTTCGATCCAAATATGCATGTTGTTGGTATCAATGGATGCAGAAAAAATTGAATCGTCGAAAAATATACATAGTGTTCCATTTGAAAAACAAGAGTTGATATTCATTTCTGAAAAATAAGAGACCCTGTATATCAAACAATATCTTGAAATCAAAATTCGAATAATTTCATACAACTTTTTGTCCAATAATTTTTTCATATCTTCAAAAACAAAGAAGTTAAGGGGGGTTTCAATTTTAAGCGGCGCACCCTGTACAGAGGATAAAGGAGATTTGATGGAGAATACAAAAATCTGAATTTGTTAGGAATGGTTACTGTTTTAGTTTCTTTCATCTAATTTTTTGACGTTATTTATTTATTGGTATTATTCAGTTTTTCTTCTTCTTCTTTCCATTTATTTATAGAAAATTCAAATTTATAGTGATTTTATTCGTTATTTTTCTCACTCTGTGGTCAGATGATCGAATCCTGACTATAATGCCTGGAATCATTAAAATTCATATAAGAATTATTATATACGGTGACTTGAAAAATGCAATTATCCAAAAATTGTAACGTTGATAAAAAACACCCCTTATGGGATATTGTTTTGAAAATTGATATAGGAGTATTTATTTTGTGACTAGCCCCAATCGATTGCCATTATCTAAATTTTTGTAAAAATATGCCTAATCCGTTTTCTTTAATTTTTGTGATGTTTTTTTGATCGCAGTAGGCCAAGAAATTGTGTTTGATAATTTTTTTTGCTCGACAAAGTAGATAAGTAGTATATTACGAGCGAAAAAATATGTCAAATCGCCCTATGAATACGAAAGTACAGGGGTGGGGTGGATCAAATTGTAACACACCGTATATAGGGTATTCAATTTGAAGTTCATAAAATGTTTGCTGCTCCCTGTATATTTTTTTCAAATAGTAATAATATCTATTGATTCGAGATGGAAATCCCTTGTGAGGTTGTTTTTAATTTTTATCGGCTGTCAAAAATAAGAGTTATAGAATGTGGCACTCTATAACGTGTTACCCGGATTCTATTCAAATTTGTTCCATATTTTATGTAGCCACCATAAAACCCATGTTTATAGAACGTGAAGTTGTCGTTGGAAGTCAAGAAATAATCGAACACGAAGAAGAAGTTGAAACAGAAGAAATGGTTACCGAAGAATTAGAAATGCAGCCTGAACAATCTAGTAGAGATTCAAAATCGATAATTTCTGAAACTAAAAGTATAAAAACAGCTACAGTCCCACCTTTACGACCATTAACGATTGCTCCAAAACCTACCAAAGTGCCACTTGCAGTTAAAACTGCTGATGGTCAGTTGCTCTTATTACAAGGTAAGCATTGGCTTCGTAGTAAACGTAAAAAGTATAGAAAGAACATATTTACAATAGGTGTAGATAAAAACCTGCAAGTCTTGTTTTCGGATGACGTACATAAGTACATCATAATTTTTTCATTCTTAGTCACTGTGAGCTACATTTAATGTATGCCAATAATAGACCAATGACCTGATGATTACAAGGTTTTGAAATCACATAATGAGTCACATAAATATGTTATGCACCTATGGAATAAAAAGAGTGCCGCTACGAGTATACGAGAGTAGTTCATTGTTTTCTTTATTATTTTATTTTTATTTTCCTTGATAGTTTATAAACCACGAGACATGATTTATTTATTATTCCTTCCCTACAAACTTTTCCTATCGAGATTAAAGTGTAGCCTCTGGGTTTATAATCTACTATTAATTGATCACCTGTGACTGGGGTCCTATAAAATAGTATTTTACTCTTTACACTACACTATTTTACCACTGACCAAGCCGATTTCTTAAACGCCTCGATTATCGTGCCAAAGGTTCCAGTCTTCGATATATTTGATTATTAGTACTCCAATTTCTTTCTTTCGTACATTTTTTCAAACAAATTGTCACTGACAAGCTACTGGATTTTTCTTTTAGACTCCCTTATAGAAAAATTTGTTAAACGCAGTGACATTTTGGGGCAAATCATCTGATTTGTCCCTTTACAAATATATTGAAATAATACGAATACTTTTATTTTATAGAAACGAGGAGAGAAAATCCCAAAGAATCAAGTAAAATAAAGTACCTATTGTCCTTTTTTGGTTTATACATATCATTAGTACCTATATGTACATTTATTACTTATTTTGTGAAATTAATTCAAACAGAGCGTGCCGAAATATCATTAAATTTATAAATGTATGTGATTAACTAAAGATGCGGACGAAAAGTTAGTGTCTGCGGAGTACTTGCCTCCGGAAATAGTCGGTTTTCCTTTCGAAAATTAGAACGTAAAATGTGACTTTTTCTAGAGGTCGACAAAAAATATTTTGTAAATGTCAATAATGTACTTGTGATAATTCATCCGTATCTATGCCATATGCCATCAGAAGGTTGGCATTTGTTTTTTCAGAATGTAGAGGCAATGAAGACTTTGAGGTACTTGAATTTTAATTTTTTTAGCAACTGGAAATCCTAGAAATTCCAGACAAACCTTACCTTAAGTTTCCTGTTTCCTGGATACCTGCATTCCTCAACCAGATAAGTTCTTACCTCTTATACATATTATCACATATCACATACAATGAAATGTTGAATCAAGGATTTAAAAATGTATTTCCTCAGGTGCAGGCACAGGACAAGCAATCAAACTGGTATCACCGCAAGGGCAAGAATTGAATTTGACCAATCTAATCAGTCGACCAGTAACTTTGAAATCGACATTGAAGACTGTTTCTTCTCAAGGGGGAAACATATCATTGATTCAACAAAAACCTGTAACAATGAAAAAAATCATCGCTCCAGCACAGTCACACCTTACTACAAAAACACTGACCAATCTCACTACAAAACCTCTGACAACATTCACGAAGCAAGGCCAACACTTCATGGTCGTGCAAAAAACTGATCAGCAACCTATGAAAATTGTGCAGTCCCAAGGAGGCAATCTTGCAATAGCCGGACCTTCGAAAACTCTCACCTTACAGCAAGCACAAGAACTGGGCATCATATCGAACACCAAAATAATTCAACAGTCCCAGTCGGCGCCGAAACAGACGTTGTTGATTACTAAGAACCCACAAAAGGCATTGAAATTCGTACCACAAGCTAAAACGGTTACATTGACTACATCAAAAGGTATGAACAAGATATTACCGACTACAAAGCTTCCCCAAAGGATAATATTTAAAGCTCCCGGTTCAACTCAAACCATATTACCACAGGGCCAATTAATACAGGTTCCTGGTACACAAGGCTTGAATATGGGACAGTTGCACCAGATAAATATTCCTGGCAAAGGGGTGAGTCCGTAAAATGTTTATCAGTAGTTTACTGTGGAACATTATTTTCTCCACGATAATTTGTGCAGGATGAAATTGAAATGTGTGCATACAGGGTGTCCAGAGCTGAAACCGACAAGACTTCTGGGGTTATAGGAGATCACCCGATTGGGTTTTAATTTAGTATATGATTCAAACTGAAAGGCTTCAACAAGTAGAGCCCTTTGAAAGAAACCAATATCTGGACCGGAATATTATTTTTTGCCTATGTTGAGTTATTGTGAGAATAACTCACCCTGTATAATAATTATCAAAAATCTGAGCTCATATTATAATTGTACTGGGAACATACTATATAAACTCTTTGAAAAAGTTTCTGGCACTATTTCAGTTATTCCTTAATGAATTATTATTTTAATTTTAACTCAACATAGGAAAAAAATAATAGTCCGGTGTTGATGTTGGTTTTGATCAAACGGTTACTTGTTGAAGCCTTTCAGTTTAATTCATGTTCAAAATTTGAATCCAATCGGGTAGTAACGGTAATCCCTGTATTTAATGTGGCTGTTTGAAGTTTTTGTCAAAATCCAAAAATCACTCTGTATGTCGGTTTTGGTCATTTGTATATGGCATTTTGCAATAATAATGACAGTCCCTATAACCACAGTATAGGGAATATTACATATACTAATGTTCCCTAAACTGTGCTATAACCCCATAAGTTTGGTCGATTTCATTTCTGGACACCCTGTATAATGGAGACAGCATTAAACACACTCTGAGAAAATGTCCTAGATCAATTGATCAGTCCGTATTCTTGGAATAAACAGAAATTTTATTTTGAAATTCTGGAATCCGTATGGATGACTCAGCAATGTCTCACAACATGGATCTTTTATCTGTTATCAGAATACTAATGAACCTTTGGTGGACTAGTACTGAACATGAACAAAGTATCTGTTCCACAGAAAAGTGAGATCTTGATTTTTTTTTAAAATATAGAGGGTGTTCCATTGAAAATAACAATTTGTACTCTTTTCTAATATCAGCGATATTCATTTGTTTCACCTCGTACAATTTTCTGGAGGTTGAGAACAAACATTTGTATCTGAAGCTTTTTTCTATCTACAATGATGAACCCTGTAGAAGCTGTTTAAATAAACTCAATGACCCTGTACTATTATTTTGAATTATTGTTAGTTCGAGAAATTATTAACATTATTATTTCATGATACTATTTATTTTCATGAAACAAATCCATAATTCATCAATTGAATCATTTTTTTTCCTATGACGAGAAAAAAGTTCAAAAGTTCATCTCTGTTGACAGGTTATAAAACGTCCCTTTTCATAAAATACTTCTTTCCCACGGGAAAAAAGTGGGTACGCTTTTTCCGGATATATATCACATATATATACACTGTTGAAGACTTTGTTGTACTATAATTCCGAAAAATAAGCCAATACCGTCTGATAGATATTTGATTACTTCAAAAGAGTTATAGAGATGCCTGCAAATAATTTTCTGATTTCAATATATTGTGATATATTCTCAATATTGATTCGTCATAGAAAAAAATAGTTTATTATACATGGGAAAAATATTAGATTATAGCTACTTTTTCCCCTTGTATAATGAATAACTATTTATTCTAGAACTGATATACTTTTCAGGTCCAGTATATAAAATTTGTTGCTGCTAATACAACAGAATCTACTGCTACTACTCTTTCTACTTCTACAGGAACTGCAGTAAAAACATCTGCTGGAACTACAATTACTACAAATATTGTGTTGTCAGATTTGAAGGTTTGTTTCTACATTTAAATATAATTTTGTAGGTTCCTTCTGGCATTAACCTTTTTGTATGGAAGTATAGGGGAATGACATGCATGCATGCATCCATATAATACTGTAAAGTTGTCATTTTCTCAATTTGATTCTGTTTACAATTCTGATTGGACAAGAAATAGACAAGAAGTAATTGCTAATGGCGGAGTTGATGTCATAGATATTGTCCCGTCAAAACAGGATAGTCAGTGAAGGCCTATACTAATGAAATCATGAGTTTTCAATAACTAAATGTATGAATTTCAATATCTAATTAACAACTACTGACATCTGGTTGTCATGGACTTTAAATATAAACAATTTCTATAGTTAGAGTCAACTTCTACCGTGACCGTTTTGAGATGACTCGAAGATTCAATAGCAACCTATAAACCTGACACTAAACAAAATAGCGCTGAAGCCTTTGTCCCTCTGGGCGTCGTACCCAACATATTTTCCTTGCAATAGCCTGGCTCTAAGGTCAGTATTTCACCTTCAAAATCCTCGTCTACGAACAGCGACGGTTCCTCGCCTGCCACCTCCAAAGATAATTGATTTTAGACAAGTGAATGAATTTGAAGTAGAACACCTTAAATATTTCCTGCGATACTTCTAATGAATGGTGACGTCAGTTTTTATGCTGTTTTGTTATTGGTCAGATAATATTTCATTCTCAATCATGAAGCAAGGTTGTCAAGTCACCAATTCTAATCCTTGAATACATTATAGGAGGAAGCCATGATATTATAGTTCATTTTTGACTTTTTCGAGCAACCAGAGCATGTCAAAATATTTCTTATACTCCATGACAAAATATCATGTAAATGTTGGAGACTTGGCAACATGTGCGGAATGCTGAGAACTGACAAGACAACGCCAACAATTCGTGAGCCGTGTTGTCACGTTTACCGGTTCAAATGTCATCTGGTGTGAATTAATATAATTATTATTTACACAATATTATCATAAGCAATAAGCACCAACACATGAGGGAAAATGTTGAGACAATGGATTATTATTGCTGATTAGGAATATTACCAATGCATAATTGGGAATTCATGAATTATATTGAATAACTAATATTCTCTTTCCCAATCGTATTTCAACATATGGCAGCTGTGTTATGGTCTACCCCTACTTACGAAATCGCGACTACAGTTTTTAGTTACGGTAAATTTCTAGCCGCTTGAAAATTACCGTGGCATTATATATTGATTATTTTAGCACCAACATCGACTGAAAAATTCGAAAAAAAGGGATTGAAAGGTATTTGAGTGACGATTCTATTTAAGGAATAAAAAAATTAATCCACTCGCCTAATTTTGAAATAGAACACCACAATATTTGAACGATCTTTCGAGGTAGCTTTCGAATTAAACTGTTTGCCGACAACTCAATATATGTTATACATTATTTCACGAAATCGTCAACCGTGAAAAAAATCTTTCGTATTTTGCAGACTGTACCTAGCGTAAGTAAAATAGCGCCGAAGCCTATGCCAGGCAAAGTGGCGATCACCCCCCTCAAACCTCTGAGCACCCCGCTGATGGTCGTCCCCAACAGCATCTCTTCCCCGCTGCCGGTCATCTCCAAGGTCGCCATTCCTGCGCAACCCTCGAAATCTTCGTCTACGAAAAGCGAAGGTTCCTCGCCCCCCACTCCCAAAGATGAGGTCGACGTGGACGGCATGCGGCCTCGGAAGCCGTGCAACTGCAACAAGTCGCAGTGCCTGAAGTTGTACTGCGATTGTTTCGCCAACGGGGAGTTTTGCTACATGTGCAACTGCACGAACTGCTTCAACAATCTGGACAATGAGGAGCACAGGTAACTTGGCTGAATATATATATGCCTTTATTCATTCCAAGAAGATTACAGTGAATCTTATATTAGGAACTAGGGCTATCTATATTTACAATTATAAAAGTAAAGATAAAAGTACGTAAATAGGTAGAAAGCACCATACAAAAACATAATACATAAATCAATGTGGAAAAGCATAATAACATCATAGACACAATTCACACTCATCTGATACAGCCTATGAGCAAAAGGGACATGAAAAGGACATTATATTTGTTTACATAATACATGTTATACTAGATAAAAAAAAAGGAACCAAGCGCGCAAAGGAGAATTTTTATCCGGATGAGCATATATTTCAAGCAAGTAAATACTGTTTTAGCTTGGTTTTGAATATGTGATCAGATACGTGCGTGTTTCTAATACTGACGGGTACATTATTATAAATTTTCAGGCCTTCATGAAAGAGAGACTTCTGGCCATACTTGGAAAGAACAACTGGTAAATAAAGATTTTGGTTTTGCCTTGTACCATACTGATGTATATCAGATACAGTTATCAAATGCGTGACGGAGTGCTTTCTGCGAGTTTTGATATAATGGATATATAGTGCTATTTTATATTTATAAATATTTTCTAATGAAAGATATCCTCTGGGGGAATACAATTGAGTAGTGGGGTACCTGAATGGCAGAAAATGAATATTCTTTATTGCTTTATTCTGTAAGACTTTCAGAGGATTAATTGCTGATTCATGAGCTGTTCCCCATACTGAGATAAGGTACTGCAGGTGACTATATATATGTGAATAATATAGTTTTCTGATTGTTAATGAAATCATCCTGGAAATTTTATACAGAACTCCAATGAATGGTGATATTTTTTTCTTAACATGGGTTATACAGTATGATGCAAATGTATGGAATAAATTCATTTCAAAACAAGACGACTTCCGAAAAAAAAAAACCAAAAACTAGAGTTCAGAACTTTTTTTATTGTGTATTTTTTCAACTAGACGACCCTTCGATGTTCAATTCTCAGTAGCAGACCTCTGCAAGATTCAGTTAACCAAATGATAATCCATTTTAATCGCAATATTCTTATGCAAAAATTTTGACTGTTGGATAGACGATCAGTAGACCTTTCAAACGAGGTGTCACATGACCCCTGCTTGTATTTGAAAAAATCGTCCATTACGTCATTACTTCTACACCAGTGACGTAACATCTTTCATATGAATGTCATGAGATGAGGCTTCAAAAATTAAAACTCACGTGTTTTTGGAATTTCTTCAAATGTCGCCCATTTCTGAAATAATGAATTTATTCCATACATTTGCATCATACTGTATGTTTTTTCCCTGAGAGCACTTCATCAATGTATAGTCCTAGGTATTTGGTTGAATCGAAGATCTAGTTATTTGAAAATTTTCTTTCCTCTGTTTAGTTTATGAGAATTCATTGGACACATATCTTAAATTTTTGTCGTACGATCACAGAATTTCTGAAAAAAAATCGTGAAAATATAGTTTCTGCTTCTCCACCATCTTCATGCCGTAGTACTAGTTGTTTTTTTCGTGATACTGATGCATTTCGGATCATTCTTCGCCTCTCATGAAATTTGGATGAAATGGTTTGTTCCAGAGATTACTTGGGAAATATTAATCCGTTAGCCACCAACCAAGGGCCAATACTTTTCTGATTATCACTTGAACGAATCATCAAAATTTTATTAGAGATAAAATATGTTCTAAAATGAATTACTATTTTAAAAAAATTGCTGCAAGTTCACTGGCGCTGTTACTGAAAAAGAGAGCGAAGAAGTTTCAGTGGGCGATGGGCTCCCCTAGTTTTTAAGTACTTGTGCTAGTGACATAGATATCTAGCTGATCATTCGTTTTTTGCCTCACGTCTGTACGCCGTGTAAACACCATCAAGAACCATAAAAGAGGATTGAATCGAAAATGATTGATTATCTCGACAAAAATAGTTGTGCAGTCACTGGAACATGCATGTACTAAAAAAAGGATGCCATCAGAATATCCTGATTCAAAATATCCGCGACAAAATATTCCCGACACATATCCCATGAACGCTAGAATATGATAATATTCTGAGATCAAATATCCTTCTGGACAAAACATCTTAAGATGAAATATACCTACACAAAATCTCCACTAACAAAATTGTCTTGAGAAATGTGCCCTCAAAATAGCATCCTAATAGCTTCATTATTCCGTTTGTGTCCAAACACTGCAGTCATTGGGTTAAATATGTTTCTAGTCATACTCATGTGTGCTGCTCTCATTAGGATCAGCTTCTTCACCAATCATTTCTCTGGAAAGCCTCCTGTGGTCTAAGCGCTCCCAGAAGTTTGTAGCTCCAGTGTTTAATCAGTGGCTTGCACTTTAATATAATATAAGCGAGATTGAGAGGCTGTTTCCCACTCCTCATTGCAAAGCTTGCAAATGGGTCCGTCTATAGATACGCAGAGATTGAGAGACTGTTTTCCACTCCTCATTGCAAAGCTTGCAAATGGGTCCGTCTGTAGATATGCCCCATCTGATGTAATTGCTTCCTCAAGAGACAATAACCAGATATTAATCCTGTCAGTTGTTTCATCTGGCTTCTGCTTAAACCCAGAATGTCGTTAGCCATGTCTTCGACGGTGTTTTAACCATCAGTTCACTGTGTCTCTGCTCTACAACACTGTTCCATTATGTGAAGTGTTCTGCTTCTAATCTCCTTATTATATGCCTTTTGAACACAAGCTCTGGCTCAATGACTGTCACTCTATAGAGCCCCCTCTTGCTAGATCGTCTGCCGCTCTATTACTCACAAATTACATAATACCCTGGTACCTACCTACTAAATTGTAATCTTGTTGTGATTCGCAAGAGTTGTAAGGATTTGTTGTCTCAAACCAGCCTTGATCTGAATTAAGGGGTTCGTTAAATATTGGATATTTGCAAGATTATTGGAGCAGATGAGGATTCTTCTATACCTCTGTATATCCTCGTGATATTCTCTCTGTCATGTATCAGTAGCATGTACTTCTGCCTGATGAAACAGCCGGTTGGCTTAGAGTCACTGGATGGTATAGATAAGAGTTTCATTTCATTTCATTTATTTATGTTAACATACAATTGTATTTACACACGTCAAGCCATAATACATAATTCAATTACTGTTACAAAAAATATAAAATATACATATACTAATACAAAATAATTTTACGACACTGTACTGAGTACCTTAAAGTTATGTTAAAACTCGTTTCTTATCAGAAGTTGTAGTTTAAAAATTCATCTATTGAATAAAACCTGCGTTGATTGAGTAAACCTCTTATTTCCTTCTTGAAATTTTCAAATTCTAAATTTATGATATTGATAGGAATTTTATTGTAAAATTTTACAGCCAAGTACCCAGGGCCGTCTTGACACCTTGTTAGACGTTGATGAACTGGTATTAACCTATTCCTACCTCTTGTCTGAATTTCGTGATTTTCAGCGTGAGTCCTATATAAATTTTTATTTTTGTGAACGTACATCAGGCATTCGAGTATGTATACACATGGCAGAGTCAACACATCAAGCTCACCAAATACCTCACGGCAGTCATCCATATACCCCAGTCCTGCAATAATTCTCATAGCCTTTCTTTGCAACGCAAATATTCTCTTTGACTGTGGTACATGCCCCCATACCAATATCGCACTGCACATCGCAGAATGGAACATTCCAAAGTAAGCTGTCCTCAATGAAGAAATAGAGACATTACCAGCTAGAGAGCGAAGAGCAAATAAGCCACTCCTTAATTTGCTTGCCACCCCATCAATATGCACGCCCCATTGCAGCAGTGGGTCAATCTGTACCCCCAGAAATTTCACACTACTCACGTCACCGTTGGTCACACCCGTGTCCCTAGTTGAAAAGACAATCTTATTTGTTTTTCCAGTGTTGAGTAGAAGTTTGTTGGCACAAAACCAACTCTGGATGTTATTTTGAATATCTACTGTACTCCTTAGAGCCTCTTCTAGTGTATTTGCTGAAATGGCCACCGTCGTATCATCCGCAAATAGTGTGAATTTTGCTCCTGGCTCTATAGATGGCAAGTCATTTATATATATTAGAAACAAGACTGGCCCCAAGACTGAGCCTTGGGGCACCCCGATTGTGACATCCTTAAGTGCCGATGAAACACTATCTAATTTCACAGTTTGTTTTCTATTTGTTAGGTAAGACTTGAGAAAGGTAAAACTATCTGCTGAGAAGTGGTAACTTTTTAGTTTGCGCAAAAGAATTTCATGTGACACACAATCAAACGCCTTACTCAGATCACAGAACAAGGCACTTGTAAATTCTAGATTATTAAAAGCTTCATAAATATATGATACTAGATCCAATATTCCCAATACTGTATTCTTATTTTTCCTAAATCCAAATTGACATTCTGTAAAATACTTATTTTCTTCGAAAAATTTTGTTATTCTGATGGCAGTACATTTTTCTAGTATTTTTGATATGATTGGCAGGAGAGATATAGGTCGGTAATTCTGGGGTAAGTCCAGTTCACCACTTTTATATATAGGTATAACTTGAGCAATTTTTAGAACATCTGGAAAAATATTTTCCCTAAATGCCTGGTTAATTAGTTTTGTAAGAGGATGGATAATATTGTTTTTCACAGATTTGATCAGTTTCACATTGAGTCCGTAGATGTCAGAACTAGGTTTGTTTTTTAAGTTGTCAATGATATCTCTGATTTCTATAACTGAGGCCTCGGAAAATGAGAAGAAAATGAGTTCGGAAACAGGTGAACTTATGTCCTTTACATATATTTTGCTCTTTGTCTTTCCAATTTTCCTAGTAGCATCTGATTGTCAGATACGATTTTAGAGGTTAAATTTCCTGTCAAATCAATCATAGCCGTAGATGGAAACAAACACCCACTTCAATTTATAGCCATACGGCAATTTTCGCAGAACAGCAGTTATATAAATAAAAAGAATGCATTTGAAGTTTTAGTGACAAAATATACACTTATATCTAGTTCGGTCGGTATTAGAAGCGTCATTCAATGACGTTGCAATTTACTTGATTTCCTCAGTTTCGTTCTCGAATTTTCAATTTCATAATGTACTTTTGCGTGATGATAATAATAGATTATTCTCTTTTGAAATAGTATGATTTGCAGATGAATAGAACAGCAGATTCTGTCAATCTTGAGATCTTCTGTTTGAAAATATGGCCAAAAATATAGTTTCATTTTAATCTGCTTATTATAAAAAGTTAATTTTAATTTAAGTATATGTACCTCACAAATTTTGCTTGTGTTCAAATAAATTTTTCATCCAGGCTGTTTCATATATTCCTTCCATAAGAGAATGGAGTTATTTCCTTTGGAAAATGAAATAAATGATATCAATTCTCTTCAGAACTCTCACAATTCATTACACAGTAGGACATTCTCATTTATTTCTGCTCAATAGTTTATGAAATTATATTTCAATTCTGACGTTCGTAGTATTCATTGTCAAATTCTAACAATATCGAATGAAAAAGCACAGAACGACTATGGTGCTCTTGTCAAAATGCAAGGCGTGAAACTGTTGTCATTTCTGTGTCCGAACTCTTGTCTAACTAATCCAATCCAGTGACTCTAGGTAGGCTAAGGTAGTATGTGGGATACTTTTCTGAATAATATAATTCAGTCAAGTCTCGATAGTTTATAAAAATGTCTCATGAAGAAAGATGTATTCAAAATAAAGTTATTTTAGCAAATTAGTAAATGTTAAAATGTTGTCTCATATTATATTCTGATAGAATCTCTTGTTCAGGATATTCTCTCCATTGATTTTTTTTATATCTACGATAATACTCTCTACATCGAAATGTACGTGAATTCATTAACACAACATCAAAAGCATATTTGTACCGACGAATGTGACTTGAAAGTAATCAAGTGATGATAGGTATTGTTATTACTTTATAGGAACCGAGCAATCAAAGCATGTCTCGAGAGAAATCCACATGCGTTTAGGCCAAAGATTGGTAAAGCAAAAGAAAGTGGCGACTCAGCAATACGAAAACATACCAAAGGCTGTAACTGTAAGAGGTCAGGCTGTCTGAAGAATTATTGTGAATGTTACGAGGTGAGTTATTATGTTTATCTGATGGCATGTCATAATGACAACGTTATGTCTCTCAATTTTGATGACATAAAGAAGCTCATTATGGGACTAAGTACCATAATGAATTCATTATGGGACTAAGGAAAACATGTAATGGTTTGATCAAAAAAGTTTATTCAAAATGCATAACTATGTACAAAACTATTTATTATAAATGGTAAAAGAACAATTACTACAATTTGTAATATTAATATAATGGCAAAGCACAGCTCACTCACCTACTAATATTTGAAACTACACAATACTTACTCCTTTAAAAATAGTTGTCATTGTGACATGTCAAAAATGCAGTTTTTAATTTTTCGAAAATGTATTGATATAAATGCCATCAGATAAAATTTTGTATGTAATACGAATCATAAACAATCATAATGGCACACGCCGTGTTATCGGACTCGGCTACGCCTTGTACCATAATGATCGTCTTCATGATCCTTATTACATAAATAACTATTATCAAATTCAATATAGGCTATTATGAGGTACCAAATTACAGAAAGTGTCAGAATCAAGTTTGTATTTCGAGTTGAACTTTTGACACTATCGTAGAATCAGTGCTGCCCTCTGCGCTATTTACATTAAACCTGAGCTCAAAGTCGGAACAAATGATCCCTACAATCGTTTAGTACGGGACTGTATGAAAATTAAAAAATATTTATAAAACTCTTGTTTGGTTTAACTAATTCATGTGCATTTAGTATCTGTCGTGCTGCAAGTATCAAAGGAAAAGGGTTGGGAGGGATCTGTAGAGTATCCTGTATATAGTTAAGAATTACAGATAGTAATTTTTGAAATGTCATGACATGGTTGTCAGGATACACATTTTGATGAGATAAAACAAATAGACATTCAAATTAAATCTATTTGAATTAAGTCATAATTCTATAAATATTATAACATATTTACATGGCGCAGTCGTCCTACGCTTTAAAACAGCAATAAGACTGGTAATCAATTGGAAAGTATGGGTGATAGTCGCGGAATAGCACCTATGTCCATGGTAGGTAGCATTGCCGAAAACTGGAAGATATGGAGAGCACGCTTTGAAAACTACATCATAGCCAGCAAAATTAGTAAGGAAGAAGAAAAAGTGCAATGTGCTCAAGTACTTCATCTCATTGGAGAGGATGGTTTCAATATCTACACAACATTCACATTCGAGGATAATGAAGAAAACAATCTCAAGGTACTGCTAGATAAATTCGAAGCACATTTTCTACCAAGAGAAAATTTAACTTATGAGCGCTACAAATTCATATCATACAAACAACAACCAGGACAATCATTGGATCAATTTGTTACTGAACTGAAGAGAAGGAAAATAAGGAGACTAGGTATTTCATTGAACTCAAGAATAATGAAAACAATATTGGGGATAATGATAGTTCAGTATTGGAACCTGAACAGCATATAGTAGACAGAGATGATAAGACAAATAATTCTATATATTCGAGTTCAGATAAATACCTTGCTTCTACCTCCAATAGCGATCATAGTAGTGTCTCTATAAATAATGATGAATGTAAAGATTCAAGTTCAGAGGAGAACATTGTTGAAAAAGAAACAATCACCTCATATGGTAGAGTTTCCAAGCCTCCTCAGAGATTGGGTCTATAATAATAATCGTGTTATATTTCATCTTCCGAAGGAGGGGGATGTAGAGTATCCTGTATATAGTTAAGAATTACAGATAGTAATTTTTGAAATGTCATGACATGGTTGTCAGGATACACATTTTGATGAGATAAAACAAATAGACATTCAAATTAAATCTATTTGAATTAAGTCATAATTCTATAAATATTATAACATATTTACAGGATCTACTATGGAAGGTTGATAAACCAAGTATTGTAGTATTGTGTTATTTTTCAGTTTATTTGGCTACTTGAATCATACATCCTGAGTGGTAATACTTGCAGTTAATTTCTACGAATTCTGGTGAGGGCATATAAAAGTAGTATTTTTTATATTTTGGAGCACACGAAAAGGAATCCCTATATGTTCGTGGAACATCGTGCGTAGGTACCAGAAGGGAGGATAAGAAGGGAAGGTAGGTATTGATATATTTTTTTGGAGATTTCAAGTTCTCGAAAATAGTTTCTTTAGGCAAATATGTCCAATGCTTAGCTGTTCTATTGAAAATAAAAATGGTCTGAACATAAATGTCCTTCCTGAGTGTGGGCCAAGGTAAAATGGTTTTCTAATAGCCTCAAAACCATTAATTTCTCTAATTCTTAGAAATTCTAGAATCATTATTGCATAAGTAATCTTTCAATCCAAAATAGATGAGCAGGTGGCACCTCAACGCTGAACTCCAAATTCGCAGCACCTTTGAAATTATTCATCCTGGAATTCTCACACCATAGAACAAAGCACTTCATCGCTCCTAAAATCTCTCCCAATGGCGTGAACAAAACGAAAAAATTAATATCACTTCACTTGATATTATTTATGAAGCCGACCACCAACATAAATACTATAAGCCGACGCCTATGAGCAAAATGGATACTTGGTTGATTTCGATACCACGTCAAAGTTATGAACGACAGCTTGGGGGTTCCTGTGTATTGATCAATCTAGATAGAGTAGATGTCACTGATTGAACCAAGACGATCAGCATGACATTTTTTAGAAAGCATTTTTGAATATCATGCAGGCACCAATAATGCTCGCTGTCTTCACAAATAATTTTTCAACATAATAATTTTCTTTGATATAAATCTTATGAGATACAAATTAATATGTGGACTACAAGTGATTCATTTAGGAGCGCCTAATCTCTATGGGTGCCATGACTGAGCATTGATGAATGAAGCTAGAGTTCCTAAATGTACTTTACACTTCTGTTCTAACTATCAATATTTTTTTTGCTGATTCGTGACTTATCTGCATTTCTCGACTAATTTCTCTTAAAGAAACCGTTTTGTCAACCTCAACCATAGCAAGAACGTTAATTTCAGTCTCCTCATTTATGATAAACTTCTGTTCTGCCTCTCGATTTTCCTCTTGCCTGAAACGATTCTCAACATACGGAAAATACTGATGGGGTGGATGTTGCCGATTGGGATATCTCTGAGCATACAACTCAATGAAATTTTACCTTCTGCTCTTGAAGCTTATGTCACTGTCATAACCTAAGTGAGTGTTTTGTTCTCCCAAGAAGACTTGATCGAAATAACTGCAAAATATTATTCATCATGCCTATCCTCGGCACACTTGACAAAAGTTAATAAATTATTATGAAGTAATTTCGTCAATAATATTCAATTTATGTTCTTATTCTTAATCCAATCGCAAATAAATTAGTATCGTTAGATTCGTCAAAATATCCTTTTTTCGGAAAGTGCTTGTCAAAAAATGGTCGCCATTTGAAAAATAATAGTTAGACACGAAAATGTAATTTTGCCAACTTGTCTTATTCATATATTCATACTTGTCACTAAAGCTTCGCGATTGTAATTTTCTGATATCAGCTGAGGTCCTTAGATTAGTTTACTTCCGATCATGTCCACCTAGATGTAATTTCAAAAATGACTCCGAAAAAATTAAGAAGGCATAAAAACTTTCGAAAATGTCACATCCTGATCTAGAATTGTCTCAGAAATCCAAAAATGTTACAATATACAGGGTGTTCCATTCAAATATTCAGAACCGGAGCCATTTCCGGTGAAACCGGAAGTGACCGGAAAGTAAAAAATATGTGAAAACTCTCCTCTTCACTTAATATTTACCTATACTAAATCTCATGTTGATACACCTAATGGTCTAGAAGTTATGACTTGTCTAATAGATTCGTTGGCACCCGGTATATACCAACGAAATACATATACTATTCCTATGAAATAAGTCTCTTATATGTAGGTATTTATATACATTCAGTTAAATATTTTTTTTTCTACATTCATGCAAAAAGCAGAACTTTATTGAACTATATTTAGTGGAAAAAGAAGTTCTTTATTGCACTTAGTGCAATAAAATTTTTATTGCTCTCATCTGTCATTCTACTTCAACGTGCTGTCATCATGACAAACATGTTTTATATTGCAACTGTGGTTATATAGAAACGTCAGTCAAAAATTAATTCTGACAATTAACAGAATTGTACCTAGTGCCGCACCTCAATAAATCATTTTTTGCTTTTTGCATGAACGTAGAAAAAATGTTGTATGCAACTCATGCAAAAATTGTTTATTGCACTCGACGTGTTGTCCAACTCGGCCTGGCCTGACAGCCTCGTCGGACAATTTCACGTCGAGTGCAATAAACATTCACTTTTTGCACTTGTTGCATAAATAACTATTTATTACAAAAGTTCAGAATGGGGTAAAAACTGATGAATTTCAACCAATGAAACATACTTTTATTTCGCATGGAACAATTTCACTTGTTCAAGAGTGGTAGGTAATAAGTAATTTATAAATGAACAAATGATATGGCAACAATAACAGCTGATTTCAGTTAGGATAAATAATAAAGGTTTTCCAAAACATACGGTACGGATAGGTATAAATGGACTTCAGCGCTCGACTCACTATAGATAGCCGTTCACATTGCTGAAGGAGATTATTGGTTTGAACCCGGTCATCGGAAGATCATTTTCAATACCTAACATAAGTTGACTCTTAATTATAACAAATCTTCATATATGTATATTTCCAAAAGATCAGTTGATATTGCGAATAATGCTATAACTTTCAACAATAGATTAATTAAATATACAGACGTGACAAAATTTTTAGGTCTATATATCGACGAAAAATTATTATGGACTAAACATATAGACTATTTGAGAAATAAAATAAATCCGATCATAGGCATTTTATTCAAAATCCGAAATATTATTCCCATAAAATACTTAAAATGTATTTACTTTTGCCTCATTTATTCAAATTTGCAATATTTAATTTCTATTTGGGGGAGTACAAATATTTCACGTCTGAAACCACTAATGAAATTACAAAACAAATCAATTAAGTGCATTTTTCATCTACATTTTCTAGAACCAACGATAAATTTATACAAACCAAGACATTTTCTGAACCTGATTTCGTTATATAAACTTAAAATATGTTGCTTTATTCATTTTGCCAGGAATAAGTTGAAAATATCAAATTTAGCTTTCAATGAAGTCAATACAGTCCATAATTATGGGACTAGACAATTGAATTACTTGATAGCAAATACATTCAAGTCAAACATTGGCAAACAATCTGTTTTTCACAATGGAATAATTTTATACAATGCATTACCGAATGAGTTGAAAAATATACATGATGCAAGAAGGTTTAAAATCAATCTTAAAAAATACTTGCTCAGGACAATTTGAAAGAAAAATATGTGGCATGATTCGATTACTTAGGAATGAAATATAACTTTAATCTTATAAGACACAATATTAATTCGTTTCCACTGAGTGGAATTCATTATAGTTAACCCTTTATTATTATTTTTTTTATAAGTATTTATGTATCCCTATCATAAACAGAAATGTTTCTTGGGGTAATAAAGACAATCAATCAATCAATAAATGGTGCAATCGTTGAGCGTTCTTGTTCTGTGCTCTGATAATATCTTGCTCGTATCTTGGTACCCAAGTAGCGGCTCAAAATCCACTAGGAGCTATGTAGTCGTCTAGCACTTCTCAACTACGCATGAACATGCATATTATTCAGACTTGGGATTCCAACTTTGAATCGATACACGAACAATATATTCAACCTTTGATATATATATATACATCAATATCTGGTACATCAGAGTTCCACAAAGTGACTATATGTTTTCACAAAATTATTACAAGAGTTCGTGTACGAAGATGATCTAAATGCTTCTTGGTTGAATATTCCTGCTCTAGAAATTAGATTCTCAAGTCTTTCTCTTTAAAAATATGTTCGAAATGAATTTCATTATCTGCAAGTTTTTCGTTTCTTGTTGGTTCTAAATTGGAATGAGGTTCTTTTCCATACTTGCTCAGTTTATAAATTGCCATGCCGGCCTCATCTTATTCTGTTTCCATTTTTGTAGAATTACGTTATCCGATGGAAATTCGAATAGAGTGAATTGATTTCCCGTGTTCTCACAGTTGGAAACTGCACAAACTTTCATCTTCCTCCTAATTCTCTCAATTTGTCAAACCTTTGAAATTTATGTCATGTTCGTCCGTGTACTGTCAGTTCCCGCTTTTTCCATCAATTTATTTGTGGTTATGTCTGGTTGTCAGTACTTGTCATAGTGTCCGTACTAATATACAAAAAACTTCAAAACAGCTGTATCAAGTACATTTAGGAACTCTAAATGAAGCTAATGAAAAAGCTTTCACATATTCTCCAACAGAATGCATTTTTCTCGATTGTACATAAATAAATCACAAAAAAACACCTATAATCTAAAAATATGGTCTGCTTACACAATCTGCGTAGATTCAGTACTGACATTATTTCATACTTCACATGCGATTCTACTAAAAAGTGGTTGGTAGACAACATCAAAAGCACATTATTTGATGAATCATCAAAATGTTTTGCATTGTATTTTCTATCACTTCATTTTTTCTAGGCCAAAATTGCATGTTCAAACAATTGCAAATGCATTAGTTGTCGCAACATTGAGGATTCCATTGAAAGGAAAAATCACATGAGACTCATGACAAATGAGAAAGCTACCAACACACCTACTTCAACTGATAATCATCTAATATCAAGTAAAGATTTTGCTCAAACACGTCCGAGACGTAGCTCCAATTCACGGTGAGTACAGTAATGACCTGTTCAAGAGACAACATGTATTTCATCATTTGAAAGTACTAACCTTATAATATCTAGTTCACTACCCATACGAATAGTTTTTTCCTTAAAGTTTTGTAATTTTTTTCTAATAATTATTTATTGAACTCCACAATATCTTGAACCGTAAAAAATTTTGAGTTGTTGACTCTTGATCAACTGAATTTAAAAAACAATATTTTCAGGAAACAAACTATCAACTTCATAACCGATGATGTTATCGAAGCTACATGCCAATGTCTGTTGACGATATCAGATAACGCCGATGAAAATCTTCAAGACGAAGAAGTTACCAAAAGTCTTATTATAGAAGAATTTGGCAGATGTCTCACCGAAATCATCGACTGTTCATCGGGTCGCAATTTGATCTAATTTCAGTTGGGTTTTGTCTACATGATGAATACACTAAGTGGTTCCATATGTTTGACAAGGGGTATGAGGTCCCTGATGAATTTGACTGAAAAATTTCAACAGTAATTCTCCTTTTACAAATGATGATTTGTTGATGGGAATAACATACAAGGGGATTTTTGATGAGGGCTATTCTGAGAAATTAAGGACACATGGTTATTGTTGACGGTATAAACATCTGAAATATCTTCCAGTTATGCTGGTATAGTTGATTTTGAAATTCTAATTTCATGGATGAATGATGGAGGTCAATATGAGCTTTCACTAGCCGTAAAGTGGTCAAAAATAGAAACGAGATACCTGATATTTCCGATTGTCAACGCTTCTATGCAGGGTGTTCATAAATGTTCTGAACATTTTGAGAGGGGTAACGCCTTGTTTCACTTTAGAGCTGAAACGTGCTGCGTTTTTGAGAACTTGGTGTTCAAGTTAGAAATATCAATTGATTTTTTTCATGATCACTCAGTTTGAGTATTCATAATGGAAAAATTTAGTCTGGTCGGTAACAGATGCAATTTCAACATTTCAAAACAAATAATTTTTCAGCAATCCGCATAGAAGACATTACGCCCTATAGCGGCTTTTTAGCTAATTGAATTGAAAAAAACATAATTATGTAGTTGGATTGTTCCGATTCCATTCTGACTAGCTACACATACCGTAGTTATAAGCATTTCAGTAGGTATCGTATCTATCCCTACTAATATTATAAATGTGAATGTAAGTTTGTTTGTCGGACTTTCACGCCAAAAGTACTCAACCGATTATCATGAAATTTTGTATAGTTTTCAGATGTATTAGAAAGGACATAGCATACTTTTTATTGAAAGAAAAAAAAAATAGGACGGGTAAAATATTTATTTTCGCAGATATGATTGTTGGACACAAAATATCCAACAATCAGACATGAAACTCTGTACGTTGGTACCTTAAATATTAATTATTAGAATACGTCTTTTGGGATTGGCAAAGGCGGATTTATCTACACAGCTTTTTCATTAATCTGTAATTTCACAATCATTAACGATTTCACTAATATAGGCATATAACCTCCAGAAATTTAGGAAGAACACCCATTCCTACCTTATTTCCCTTGGTTCTCGCGATGTACTTTAAAAATCACAGGATATACCTTTTCGTGGGAAAAAAAAACTTTGATATTCCCGTTCATTCATATATGCACCTGAATTGAATTTCATTCATTAACTATTCCCTAAGAGATCACCAACTTTTATCTCTTAACGACAAATACAAATAAAACTGTGACTTGCGCAGGCGCGATGCTGTCAGAAGTCAGACAAACAATTTCTTCCTCTTCTTTTTCCAAAATGTGGTTGGAAATTTTGGAAATTCTAGTCGTATGTTCAAATTAGACTTTGAAAACAATATTTTCATCGGGCTAAGTCGTTACCACCGAGAAAGATAGCAGACTGACGTAAACAGCTCGTGACGTCACCTAAGAGAGACCAGTGTTTTACCGCTTGTCGACTAACGCGTCAGTTCATGTTGATTCATCGGTGATTCACATATGCTTTCGAAGCGGTCCCGAATTCTTTTGTTGTTTATTCATCGAAATAATTGGCGGAAAAAATCACTGTTTGGTGAAATATTTTGTGCTGTGATAGGCGAAATAACAATGCCTTCAAGTGTTGTGTTCCCTTTTGTCGGGGTAATTATGTGTGTGGTCCAAAAGTTCATGCTTTTAGTTTCCCGTTGGACAAGGAACTATCGAAAAAGTGGGTATATGCAATTCACCGCGAGGATTTTACTCCATCTAAGTACAGTAGTAAACAGAGCTTAATTTATAATGATGAATCAATAATAGAAGACAATTAATCTCTCATAAAAAGTATGATTAGAGGAAAAAAAGAAAAGCTTTGATTGTGCAGTTAGTTTTGTATTCGTATATTATATTCAACAAAATCATCTCAAAATTCGAGAAAATTTTCTTGAATGTTCATAATGAACGGGCATCTTTAACTCAATACATTCTCAAATTTCTTTCTGAAAACGGTGATTTGCATCGTGGCAATGAATGCAGAATTCATTCCAATAATCAAATTGCAACTATCATCATATTAACATCTACTACAAACACTACTTAAAAAGGTAAAACTGCATTTATCATGCGATGGGTTTTTTTTTTTTTGGTACTTGCGTATTTTTGTCTGGGAAACACGAGTTTGATAATGAAAATGTGAACAAACCATTATTTATTAAGATATTTGACTATAAAGTTACAAATTTCACCTCTTTTTCGCCTGTCTTTTGGATGGCATTCAGAACAATTTTCCCTTCTTTTTTCATCATATTGGACAATTTATATACAGTATGATGCAAATGTAGGGAATAAATTCATTTCAAAACAAGATGACTTTCGACAAAAATCCGAAAACTAGAGTTTAGAACTTTTTTAATTGATGTATATTTCTAAGTAGACGACCCTTCGATGTTCGATTCTCAGTAGCAGGCCTCTGCAAGATTCAGTTAATCAAATGATAATCCATTTTAATTTCAATCTTCTTATGCAAAATTTTGACTGTTCGATAGACGATCAGTAGACCTTTCAAACGAGGTGTCACATGACCCCTGTCATCTGGAATGCTTGTTCACTAAATATGAAAAACTCGCCATACAAATCATATTTCCTATTGAATTTTCTATATAAAAATGTGTCATCGAAGTACATCATGAGTCCAATGACAAAATAAGAAGAGCAAGTAGCTTTAAATGCCCCCAACACAAGGGAAGAAAGGAAGCAAAATTTCGAACTTCTTCTTGAAATATCTCGATTAATAGTGGTTTGTTCACATTTTCATTATCAAATTCGTGTTTTTCAGACAAAAATACGTAAGTAACAAAAAAATTTTCGAAAAAAAACCATCGCATAATAAATGCAGTTTTACCTTTGAAAATTACTGTTTCAAGTCTAACGATCAATTGGGTAAAAAATCCAGCAACAGGAAATTGAAAACACTCACTGGCTAATATTTTAGGTAATAGGAATGCTCCAAGATAAATGTAGGTAATTGTAATAACTTGCACTTTTGTAATAAAACACTGTTTGCAGTAATACTTTTATTACGGTCTTCACTGTCCGAATGTCAAACATCTACTGGTCATTTTAATCGGTTACGCATCCCTGCTCGGCATTCGGTGATAACAGATATAAGTTGAATTAGTCATATTAGTCATATACTACATCTCTCCTTTTTCAACATATTTCAGATTGATAAATTACATGAAATATATTCTCCTTTTCAGAAACTTAAATGCTAACAAAATAACAATTAGATAATATTTCATCCATCATATATAACATTTCAGAAAACATTCCCCTTAACATCAAATCATGCACCTATTATATAAATATGTAGAAACTAAATAGTTTTGGGTATCTACATATGGCATACATAATAATACATATAGCATGTAACAGAATATAACTAGCTATAACAAAATATTCAACATATAAATAATCTATACGAAAGTGATAGGTATACATCATTCATTGATTGGGTTAGCAACTGTCCATTCGCCACTAATTTTTTTCAGATGGACTACATTTTTCCTATAGACCTGACCAGTCTCATCGTTTTCTACTTGAACATCCCCCCCATTTGTTTTATTGACTGTATATGGTGTCGGATCAAATGTGGGTGTTTATTGTCTTTAATGACGTTTTTTACAAAAACTTTATCTCCACACTCGATTTCGGAGTGTTGTGCTTTTCTCTTTCTATCTGCGTATTGTTTTCCTTTGTGTTTTTCCCATCTGTCGTGATCTTGAATTTCTTCTTCAATTATATCAGACAAGTTGTTGCTGGGAAGACTTGGTAATTTATCACGAAATTTACGCCTGAAGAATAATTCGGATGGAGTCTTCCCTGTCGTTGTGTGTGGGGTGCTATTATACATCATAAGGTATTCAAGTAATTATTTTTTCCAGTATCTCTTACATGCTTGACTTATTTTTAATCTTTTGAGTATGTCACGGTTTTGGCGCTCTACCTGACCATTTTGTTGAGGCCAATATGGTATTGTATGGTAAAGTGTGATATTATTGGATTTACAAAAATTTTTAATCATTACGAGTAAACTGTTTGCCATTATCAGATGTAATTGATTCTGGAAAACCAAGACGTGAAAATATCTCTTCTAGAATTAATATGGTTTTAGCAGACGTGATTTCCCTCATTATTTTGACTTCTTTATATCGACTGTAATAGTCAACGATGACCAGCAGGAAATCGTGACTAGGAAGGGGTCCCATGAAATCGATGGCTACGTCAACCCATGGGTTTGTTGGTAATTGACGTCGTTTCATCGGATGTGGTGGGATGGGCGTTGAAATTAACGTACATCCTTTACAACTTGACACAAATTTTTCTGCCTCACTGTCAATTCTTGGCCACCATACTTTGGTACGAAGACGTTTTTTCATTGCCACGATACCTGGATGACCTTCATGAGCAAGCTCTAATACTCTCCGCCTGAGCTTTTCGGGAATTACTATTCTATCCCCTCGTAGTAAATTGTCAGAATAGAGGCATAATTCATTTTCAAAAATTTCGAATCTCTCTGAACCTTTATCCCACTTACCTCTGTTAATGGCCCTTTTTACCGATTGAATTTCTTCATCAACTTTTGAATATTTCCCCAATTCTTTTAACGAAATCGCAACAGGTTTTGAGTATTCGATTAAGGAGCGAATGAATTCTTTTTCAAATGGTTGATCGGTTTCTTTATATGCACATAATCTGGAAAGTGGGTCTGCAATGTTTGTTTTTCCGGGACGATAAATAATTTTGAATTTGAAAGATTGAAGTCTCAAAACCCACCTCTCAATCCGAGCACACGGTTTAGATTTTGGGCTGAAAATAGTCTCAAGAGGTTTGTGGTCAGTTACAAGCTCAAACTCTTCTTTCCCAAAAAGGTAAATACGGAAATGTTCGACGGCCC